ACAAAAACTTTTAAAAAGATTAATTTAATACTGATATTGATATTTTTTTTTTTAAATTTATGATTTTTTTAAATTTATATTTTATTCAAAAATAAAAACATTATCACTTTCTCAAAACCACATAAAACCAATGTTTACTTAAAAATCAAGATTACAAGTATATTATGCAAAATTACAACTTATTAAAGTTCGATGTTTGAATTCGTATAACTAATTGCGGATAAATATAATCAAATAGAGAATAAACATTTCATTTTAACTAAAATATAATTAGAATAATTATCGAATTATAACAAAATAAATAATTATTATCTTTATAAGAAAATTATATTATTAAAACAAATATAAATTACTTCGTTATTATAATATCAATTCAGATAAAGAATAAAATAAAATATTAAAATTAAGATGTATCTTACTGCATTGTGCAAGTACCATTTTAATTGTTATAAAAAAAAAACTAAAAATACAAATGTTATAATAATAAAATTCGTAAAAATAGATTGTTATTTTGCATAAGTTATTATTTTAGAGAAAAATGTGGGAAGAGGTTATAAAACTTTTTGTTTAAAATAAAAAATTCTATCCTCTACGTCTTTTCTTCATCTTCTGCTCAACTGGATAAACCCCTCGCCATTCTCAACATCTCTTCACCCAACACCAATTGCAAAAGCTAGGGTTCTTGAAAATGGCCACAATTTCATCCTCCATAATATCATCTACCAGCTACCTTCATCACCACTCAACCTCTAAATCCTTCAAAATTCAACAACCCAAATTCACCCCCACCCTTTCTCAAACCTCTCTCAGATTTACAATTTCAAACCCTAGACACCCTACCAGACTTCTTTCTGTTGCCGAGGAAGCGCCCGCCACCGCCGTGACGTACGACCCCTCGTCGGAAGCCGCCAGGCGACTCTATGTTGGTAACATCCCTCGCACAACCAACAATGATGAACTCCACAAGGTTTTTGAAGAACATGGTGCCATTGAGAAAGTTGAGGTATTTCATTTGTCGCTTTTTTGCAGAGATTGTTGAATGGATTATTAGAATTTGACTGTTGAAGCCAAATGCCTTATTAGACTTGAAATTTGAACATTGATACAGATTCAAGATAATTTAGCTACTGTATTAACTTCAACAGAAAATTCTGCTACAAGAATCTTGAATTTCAGAATATTGAGGACTAGAATGATAACTTTTAAGACTATTTCATGTTATAAATGATCCTTGTGATCTGTTTATATAAGGTGAGGCCAACCTTTTGGTAACCGTGTGTTTCCGTGCCAGCTTACCATGAATGGCATGGAGACATCAGGTGAACCGGTTTCGAACCGAGGGAAGATGGGATTTCGATGGGATTTCCGCTGCCCCTGAGCATTAACTAGAGCATCACAACCCAAGTAGTTAACCCATATTTGTTATCATTAAAGTGTTTTAAGTTTTTGAATCCCCAATTTATTCTTTGTAACCGGTTGAGTCACCGAAATGGTCTCTTTAGATTGCCCCAAATTCAATTGAAATGTTGAAAAAGCTCATGCCCTTTTTGGTTGCAAGGTCATGGGTAGTCACTTTAAAACCAAAAGAAATGACTCAATGAGCCTCCATATTCCACCTGTAGACCCAAAGGTGAGGTCTGGGGTAAGATGCATGCTGGCATGACCGCTGACGGAAGCGGTAAAGCAGTTGATTTCATGACGACCCTTGGGTTACTAAAAGGTGTGTAAAAGGAGAAAAAAAAGACTCAAACAATAACAATAAAACCAGAATGATTCGGGAAATCAAAAGTAAATGCCGGTTAAGAAAGGCTTACTTTGCCTATAAGACACTTTCGTCTTTCGAAACTTTGGTTTTCTACAACGCCAATTGAAAGGTGATAACTTTGTATAACTTTTGTAGGTAATGTATGATAAGTACTCGGGAAGGAGTAGACGATTCGGGTTTGTAACAATGAAGACCGTTGATGACGCAAATGCTGCTATCGAGAAGCTAAACGGCACGGTGAGGCTATATTTTATGGTTGTTTTCTTCGGTTCACCTTAAGAGAATCATCTAGTATTGTTCATTTCTTGCTTGCGAGTTGAAATTACATATTTGCCTAATATCCATCGATTATAGTCTACATGCTTCTTTTTTGGATCATTTAGGGGTATTTGGGACATTTCACTATCACGATAGATACATGAGATGTCAGGTCTGCATACATCTTGTTCTACTTTTGGGTGGGATTTATATTGTCAGTTTGATTTGGTTTGATGGATACGTCAACGGTTGTTTTTTATTTCGGAAAAAAAAATTCTGGTGGATCAGGACAAGAATGAATCCGGTAATCCAGGACGTACTGATCCTGTGTAATATAATTTTTTCGGGACAGGAAATTGGAGGGCGTAAAATCAAAGTAAATGTAACGGAGAAGCCCTTGAACGGGGTCGGCTTCTCAGTTCTCCAAGCGGAGGAAACCCCATTCGTTGACAGCCCTTACAAACTTTATGTGGGCAATCTTGCGAAAACAGTGACATCAGATTCACTCAAAACCTTCTTTTCCGAGAAAGGAAATGTTGTTGGTGCCAAAGTATCTCGAGTTCCCGGGACTTCTAAATCAAGCGGGTTCGGGTTTGTTTCATTCTCTTCAGAAGAGGAGGTGGAAGTCGCCATTTCATCTTTCAACGATGCTGTAAGTTCGTTTTCGTATCTCCATTGATTGTACCCTTATAGTATATGGAGACTCTACCAATAGATGCACAAGACCCGAGCCTTTCAAGCCCGATAAGCGAAAAAAGCTTCGGCCTTTTTGGGCCCGGATCAGACCTTGGGTGTGAAAATAGGCCCAAAAGACTTTTCTGGGCCGGGCAGTGAAAAAGGAAAAGTTGGCATGATCGGGCTTTTTCAGAGCGGGCTTGGGTTTTTTCGTGCATATGTAACTTTGTCTATATCACGCAGAACTTAATGGTTTTCGTTGCAGGTGCTTGAAGGACAGAAGATTCGCGTAAATAAAGCGTAGTATACAAGCGAAGAACTTTTCGACTTTTGTTGTTGTTAGATATGGGTTTTTGTGCGACTTTGAAATGGTAAAATTATTATTATTATTATTCGGGATTGTAGTCGATATTTTTTCTGATCGTTACTCATTTGTCTATGATTCTGCATCTATATATCAAAATCAGGTCATATCATACATTTTAAAAATGTAAAAAGTAAATCTTAATGTTGATGTATGTGATAAAAACGCAATCGGTTGCATTTGCTTATGTTGGCATGCAATTTGGTTGCATTTGACAAAACACCGTTAAATCAATAGTTATCTACCGACAATATTAAAGATGTTCTCGGTTCCTTCCGTTACCGTCGTATTCTTCTTAAAATACGTAAGTAAGTGTGTGTACGTATTCTTCTTAAAATTTAATCTACATTTCCCTTTTCGCTTTAGAGATCATGTAATGTTATCTCATTTGCACATAAAATTGATTACTGGTAGTTCCGATGGTTTCATACAGAACGGTCTCGAAAGATACCAATAAGGCTAGTGGTGGGTTTGAGATTGAACTCAAGACATACTGTAAAATGAAATTTAATTGTTTGGTAATTGTTCACAATAAAATTAGGGTGCTTAATGGTTAAATGAGACACAAGATACAAAATCATTAAGAGAGTTTTAGAACCATTAAGAGCCAGACTTTTTTTTTGTCAAACAATATTCATCTTTTAACAATTTAGAGTCTGTCTCTTAATGAAATTATAAAGAGGTAAACAAACAACATATAAACTATTAGTTAATCCATATTTTTAGAAATTCTGTATACTATCTTATCCTAAACTTTGTATATAATAATAATTTATTAGTTTTAATATATTTGATATTAATTAATTATCATAAAAATATAAATAAATTCGATGTTGAAAAATACATACAACCTATAAAAAAGAGATTTTTATAAGTAATTATCATTTTATGAGGATTTTTAATTGGGAAATTAATAAAAATAACAATTTTTTTTATTAACCTGGATATCCAACCAGCTATATGAGCCGACTAATATCAAGACAACCACCTGTTTTGCACGTAGCCCAAAGTCATCACATTTGAACCTCCGTGGTCACAAGGGGATTTTTGTTTCTCCTTGGATTTGAACATGAGACCTTCTAACACTTTTGATCTTTTGAGCCAAACTCAAACCAATCAGACACCACATTTATGGTTTTTATATATAAAAAAAAAGTTTACGAACCAAGTCATTTCTCTTCTAAAATATCAAAGTATCACTATCTTTGCAAATGGCATGTTCGTAATTTATGGAGAGATAAAAGTGTAATAAAAAGAGAGTTTCTGAACCAAGTCCGTAAGTGCAGTGACCAAATACACCTTCCCAAGTTGCGAAAGTACAACTTGCGGACCTATATCTATCTTACAGATTTATTCCTTATGCTTACGGACTTGTTCAGAAACCTTTTTTTATAGTTCGACTACTCTGTAAATTGTGGACCTACCACTTATAAAGGTAATAATATTTTAATAATTTTTTGAAAATGACTAAGAGATAAAATTATAAATAAAAATTGATTATTTTAATTAATTTATGAGTTCAACAATAATATGGAAAAATCTATACTATACTATAAAGTATTTGATAAAAATTCTTAAAAATCATTTTTTTTATGCACGAAATACTGTTTATTGATGCATATTATTTAAAATTTATGATTACAAGTAAAATGTGCATAAATACCACTTATTAAAGCTTCATATTTGAATTCGTGTAATTAACTGCAAATAAATATAATCWAATATTGGATAAACATCTCATTTTAAATATAAAAAATCTAAAATATAATTATGATAATCATTGAGTCCAACAGAATACTTTAGTTATTATTTTTATAAAAAATTATATTATTAAATCTAAATTAAATTTCTCTGTTATCAAACCAAAATTAAATTATAATTAAAAAATTAAATTAAGAAAATTACACAAAAACACAAAAAACTTTTAAAAAGGTTGATTTAATACTGATATCGGTACATTTTTTTTTAAAATTTTATAATATTTTTAAATTTATATTTTATTCAAAAACAAAAATATAATAATTTTCTCAAAAACATATAAAACCGTATTATATCAACATAAAAAATAAAAAAAACAAAATACAAAAATAAAAAACGTATGTATTACAAAGAAATGTATTACCATGCCACCAACCACTCTATAAAAACTCCTTGTCAAAACACAGCCGCCTCTCTCGCAACCCAAAAGCTACTCCCTTTCTTTCCATATGCCGTTTGCCCTCTCATTTTGCCCAAAAGCTTCATGAATTCAATCACAATTTCTCTTCTATACAAACTACATATAATCCGCTACACTTGATGCATCTTCTCGCCATCTCTGTTCAATTTTCTCCACTCCCATGGCTCTCCTCACTAAACTCCCTTCATCTTCATTATCATCATCATCATCTGCAATAACCCAATTCCAAAACCCCCAAATCTCCACTCTGAAACCCTTCAATTCCATACATTTTACAAAAACATCATGTTCCGCCTCTTCACCTTTCACTGAAAAGCATTCAATCGAAAGATACCAAAGGGACAAATGGGTGTTCAGGAACCAATTAGATCCAACCCCATCTGAAAACCTCCCCAATTTCTCGACTAGAGATTACGAGATTGCTCTTCAGCTTCCAGAGCTGAAGAATTTGCTTCAGGTTTTGAGAGAGAAGAGAGAGGAAGGTGGGGATGAGGAGAGACGAAAAGGGGCCCCAGGGAATGTGTTCTTGGTGGGTACAGGTCCTGGTGATCCAGATTTATTGACATTGAAAGCTTTGAAGGTGATTCAGAATGCTGATTTGGTGTTGTATGATAGATTGGTGTCTAATGATATAATGGATTTGGTGGGTCCTCATGCTAAACTTCTTTATGTTGGCAAAACTGCTGGCTACCATAGTAGAACCCAGGTTAGTCGTCTGTTCTTGCTCTATATGATATACATATACTAGTTGTGTAACCGTGCAATGCAATGACAGATATAATTCAAATGAATGCAAAGTATAAATACGAATTTACCGAACAAAACACATAGTTGTATTTATCTTATGTAGAGTGAGAACTTGCAGAATGCATTGGATTAGGGTTGGGTTTTGCTATAAAAGTTTGGTGGACAAAAAGGGTTGAGAGATTACCCTTTCATAAGTTTGAATGAAATGTATTCGTGATTGGTTTCAATGATGAATTACTTGCAATATGATTCACAATTGATAAGTGTTCTTATATGAACATTGTGGCCAGTAAGCTTTCCGAAAAGCTTGGCAACAAGCACCATTGTGGCCAATAAGTCTTCTTAACCACGGGTCATTCCAACAGCTTGAAAAAGAATCAATAGTTTGTCTACTGAAGGTTAATCTTAATCCCAAGATTCCAAAGCACTCTCAAGTTGTGGCATTGAAATCGATATGGGTCTGCTACAGATATAAACATGGTTCTAAACGCCTTGTTTGCATATATAGCAGGAGGGTACCTCCCTGTTATAGTTTATATAAGAAATCAGAAACTATAACGTTCCATAGTACAAGAGTTGGCAATTGAAGAAAGTATACGACACCTAAATGTCCGTTTAGAAAGAAACACAGAGATGCAAACTAAAAAAAGATGAAAACATTTGGTGGCGGCCTAACGTCCGTGTCTAACCACTGAATAAAGTAAAACATACAAATGGTTTCCCATTCTTACATTTGCTAAAAAATAATGTGCATGGTGTGATGCATTTTCAATAAGTAATTTTTACATACTCGAGTATGCGTTACAAATTTGGGATGATGTTGCATGTAATACATCAAGCATAAATTCATACCCAAGTTCACTTAGATTTTTTGTTGCACTTTATTTTTCTTGTTTTCAACCGATGTTCATGTGAAAGCAAGATAAAGCATCGGTCTTTGCCTTTCAAGTTGTTGGTTAAGTTGGAGCGTGGATTAAACATAAGCCACAATTAAACATTTAAACTTACTGATGCAATATATGTGCAAAAACAAGCATTTACCATGGAGTTGATGTTGCATAACGTGAGAATACCGTTTAACATTCATCAGCTTCTCTACATAACAGAATCATGCTTCGAAACCTGCAAAAATGGCATGGTTTAGTTTAAGTAAATGGTTGAGGTTTAAACCTGTAGCTGTATATAGGGGAGCTTCTCAATTGTAAGACACAATGGAATATACTTGCTTAATAGAATCAAAATTCTCTTACGGATCCAACATAGATTCTTCTAAAGGTTAATGAAACAATAGGGGATTTTCATGCATATTCATAATGAATATCGTATATTTTCATCATGAATATCATGTATTATCATAAGGAATAATTTGCATCTTGAATATCTTTCACGACATTAATCATGAATAAAACATGAATAGTTGGTTCCTCGGTTTTCAAAACATTTACAGTTCTTCATTTGAACCTTCTCCTAGTCAAGATGTGTTCTTGTTTCCTAATCGTGTTTGAATAATGTTCATACAGGAAGAGATTCATGAGTTGCTTTTGAGTTTTGCTGAAGTTGGCGCAAATGTTGTGAGACTCAAAGGAGGGGATCCATTGGTGAGCTTTTCATTTTCAAATATTGGAATACAAACAACAACTAATGTTTAGAAATCGATTCGTTGGATGCTAATTTCTGAAATGGATTGGGTTCTCTATTATAGGTGTTTGGAAGAGGTGGGGAGGAGATGGATTTTCTCCAACAAAAAGGCATTCAAGTGAAAGTTATTCCAGGTAATTGATAAGAACATACTTTGACTTCGAATGTCAAACATACGACTTACGGCTATCGTATTGTCATGTAATGTAGGAATTATATGTTTGGTACCGAAGGGGAAGGGTATGTTAGACATTTCACTAATAGTGATCGACTTGTATCTTATATGGATATATTTTCAACCATGGAAACGGTTTTGTAGGTATAACTGCGGCCTCTGGAATAGCAGCAGAGTTGGGTGTTCCACTTACACACCGGGGAGTAGCAAACAGTGTCCGGTTTCTAACCGGCCACTCGAGAAAAGGAGGAGCAGATCCTCTTTTTGTAGCAGAAAACGCAGCTGATCCTGATTCGACGTTAGTCGTTTATATGGGATTATCTACTTTCCCATCGCTCGTCTTAAAGTTAATCCACCATGGTTTACCACCCGACACACCAGCAGCCGCCGTTGAGCGTGGCACCACACCACAACAACGCGTTGTAAGCATATCTACACAACTTCTATAGTAAATTCCGAGAAAAATAGCTCGTTTGACCAAAAAGGTCCAAACTTGTTTCTAATTTCCGTATGGAGGTTATATCTGGTGATGATTTATTGCAAAATTATGCAGGTTTTGGCAGAGCTGAAGGATCTTGCTGATAAAATTGCATCAGAACAATTCATATCTCCGACTCTGATCTTCATCGGAAAAGTTGTAGCTCTTTCACCGCTATGGCCGCAATATTGTTCCAAAGAGACTTCCGAGTTGATCCAAATGGCAGATATGGGTTCATGAGAACAACAACAACAGCCGGTCAGTTTTCTCGACTTTTAAGTGGCAAAAGAACCAGAGATTGTGGAACAGTGGTTGCTTATGGATTGCTATTCGTGAGTCAGATTTCTGTGCACAAAGGCTATAGAGCGAAAGATGTGCAAAACTTGAGTCAAAAATTTTGTTCGGATGTTACTTTTGGGTTTTTTCGACTTCTAGATTTATGATCAACTAGTGGTTTATTTGGGATTCTGGTTACATGATTTGGGTTGTCCCAAAGATTGTAGTTTGTTTGCTGATATCCGATGGTTCTTGGTCAACTGATTTGTGGAAGAGGTCGAACAAACGAGTGTCATCCAGAGACCGATCCCGAGCCTGGGCTAAGACGAGGCCTTAAAATCGCGGTTCTTCGAGGTTCGGTTTGGCTCGGCTCGTTGGTCCTTTTTCGGTCCTATATTTTATAGGAAGTCTAGTTAACTATGACCCATTTTGGCCAGTTTAAAGGTGGTTACAAATTCATGAATTTCTGATATTTTATTTTCTTAACTTGTTTCTTTGTTATGTAATGTTTACGATATACATATAATTTTTTAATAAAATTGAAAATTAGATGTGCTAATGGTTTCCTTCTCACACAAAGCTCATTTTTTACATTATCAATATATGAATTTAGGGAAAATCATCAAAATATCAAAATATACCCGATATATTAACAAAATTGTCAAAAAGACCATCCGGATCTCTCCCGGGGGCGATCCATGACTTTGGGGGGCGATCCCCTTCTTTTTGACTAAAAAAGTACAAAAAATAATTTAAAAAATCATTTGTAGGTCCCACATGCATCCCTTTAGGTAGTGTTTGGTACGCAGACTAGACTGGACATGACGGGACAGGACGGGACGGGACTGGACTAATTGTCTGTCCCATGTTTGGTACGACTAGGACAGGATAGGACAAAACTGTTAAAATGACCATATTACCCCTAAATGCTGTAGGGTTTACCACTAGGGCATGCTTATACTTATCTGATCATTTCAGACATGTCTATTAGCTAAAAATTGAGTTGCATTAAAACCAAATGCAACTTATGACAGAAATGTTGTACCAGGAAATGAAGACAGGAAGCTTATGCTTATGCTTCATCTACCCAAACTGAGTTGTATTAGAACCAAATTTATCTTACATTTTATTATAACAAAAACATAATACCAGGAAATTTGTGTTATTAAGCCATTTGGTGAAGAAACAATTGCAGAGGAGGCGATAAACAGAAACAAAGCAAAATCGTGCGTAGCAAAAAAACGAGAGGGAGAAATCGAGAAATCAAACCGATTGCAGAGGAGGCGATGGAGGCCGGTGGAAAAAGCCGATGTGGAAGAGGCGATGTGGAGGAGGATATGAAGAGGTTGTGGAAGAGACGATGACGAAGAGACGATGACGAAGGGACGATGATGGAAGAGACGATGTGAAGAGGGGCTGTGCTAATTAGGTTTTCCAATTTGAAACAAGGGTAACATAGTCAAATCATATTTAGTCCCATGTTGTTCCACCTTTTTTGGTGGAACAAAAACCATCAAGTTTTGTTTCATGAAATTTAAAAATAGTCTCATCTTGTCTCATGTATTTTTTGTCCATGACATGCCAAACATGGGACTATTTTTTTTCCGTCCCGTCCCACGTAGTCTGCATACCAAACGCACCCTTAGGGTACAACACCACCTCATTTTTGGTGGGTCCCACATTCATGAATTTGTAATTTTTATTTTTATTTTTTTGAGGTGTTTTTAATAAAAAAGTGACAATATTTAAATTGTTTTTTTTATCTTTTAGGACCAAATTTCATGGTTATAGGTTTAAAATTAAAATCATGATAATTGTGGACACGTTAAAAATTATTTTTATCTGATTTGGGGGACGTAAATAAGACATTATATCTGATTTACGAAGTTTGACCGCTATTTCGTCTTTTAGTGTTTTTGATTTGACGACGATTTGACAATTAAGGGGTGTTTTTAATAAAAATGAAACGACATTTAAACTGTTTTTTTTTTTTCGTTTCTAAGATAAAATTTCATGGTTTTAGGTTATAAAATAAAACCATGATAATTGTGGTCACGAAAAAATTATTTATATCTGATTTTTGGGGGAAAAAATTAGATATTATATCTGATTTACGTAGTTTGACCGCTATTTCGTCTTTTAGTGTTTATGATTTGACGTCGATTTGACCGCTATTTTTCTTATAAGAAAAATATAACAACATTCGTTGCTTAGTTTATGCGTTTAAATTTTTTTGGTAAAAATTAAAAATCTTCACGTACAATCATATTTTTATAAGGTTTACGGGTTGTTAGAGTAGAAGTAATATTATTTTATATAATAAAACCATGACATTTGGTCTTTAAAAGGTATAAAAACAATTTAAATATAGTCTCTTATTTACAACACTCCTTAATCGATATTAAAAAAACAAAAAAAAACATACTTTTATTGGATGTGGGACCCACCAAAATTATTTTTTATATTATTTTTAGTATTTTTTGGTCAAGACAAGGGGGATCGCCCCCATGGTCATGGATCTTCCCCTTTGGAGATCCGGGTGGTCGTTTTGACAATTTTGCTAAAAAATGATTATTTCGTTAATATATCGGATATATTTTGGTTATTTTGATGATTTTCCCATGAATTTATTCGATTTTAACATTAAAAATCTACATCAAAACTCACTTTTTACATCTAAATGTACGAATTTATTCGATTTTAACATTAAAAAAGGGATGTAAATAACAATAGGATTGTAATCCAATGTTGCCTGCCACCCAGGTTTCCTACAGCCAGAAGGATGGGACTGGTTCTGGATCAATGGGACCAGATTCGTACGACTCATTTGCTTGGTTGAAAAGGATTAATTGTTGAAGCTCTGTGAATATATCCGTATATATTAGTGTATGATTTATTTACATCTTACCAATCTACTATATATATGTATAATTAACCAAACAATTCAAATTCAAGACGATAAACGGTCCGAAGTATCGTTACGCATACACTCGGGGATTGGAAATTTTGTCACATCCCGTCCTGCTTTGCTCGTTCTGAGCTCCGGTTGTCCCATGGAATCGCGGTGCAACCCCAATATGATCTTATTGAATTCAGATTCATCAAGAGAAGTGTTAAGGAAGTACGATAACATTTGTCGCTTGTTGGGCGTAATTGTCTTTTTGTGTCCGGCATATGCGCGATGCCCTTGGATCGCGTGACCCATGTTCCCACCATGGGACGCCATGAACACATCGCTGTTTTCGGATACAATGTAGTCGATGGCAGCCATGATCGATGCTTTCTTTGCAAACGGCTCTAGCTCTTCGGCTAACCCAAGGTCTTCTTTGTTGTAGAAATGAGGAAATTCCGTCACTAATGGTAACAACGTATCTGGACCCCCTAACGGATTTCCGCCTGCCCAAAAGATCCTCCCGTTTCTTGGCACTCCGAGAGCTTTTAAGAGCCTATAAGTTCATATCACCAGTAAGGATTAGATGGATGCCGTCAATTAGACATTTTTGGCGAAAACCGATTTTGTTGTAGTAATTTAAATTAGGATAATTGTGGTTTACAACATCAAAAAAAGCTTACCGAGCAACCTCCACGGCGTTTAACGGGCAAAGACCCGCAAGTTTTCGGTCATGGTACGTCATATTTGATCTCGAAGTTAAGAGCTCGGGACGATACTTTCGTTCGTTGTGGATTATTTCATCGTACTCCCGGGTTAAGCCCGGAAGACAACCAGTTCTCACCCATACATCTTTCTCCATTCGAAGATGAAGCGCAAGATAAGGCCCTTTGCTTCTCATTCTCTCGGTGAGCTTGTTTCCGAGTTCACGAATCGGTGGTGCAAACCGCAATGCGTGAAATGCAACCTAAACGAGTTTATAACGTTCGTTAGATTCATAAGTTCAATCTCTTTTCCTGAAACAAAGAAACGAGCTAATAGGAACGCCCAACGCGCCAATCATACTTGCAATCGGATTATAATATAACTAAAGAAAAGTAGAAAAAAGCCCGTGAAGCTTATTGAAAAGTTCCAATAATCCAATTAGTTTATAAAACAATTAGAAAAAGCGCCCGTGTAACTTAATGAAAAAGCTCTAACGATACCTTGCATCGAAGCTTTTGGAGATCAGAAGGAAGATCCTTGGAAAGCCTCGAGTCTAAACCACGCAACAACAAAACGCCTTCTCGTTTCATCTGTATCAACAAACGAAAACATCCAGAATTGTAAAATCAATTTGCCGTGTCAACGGACGGCTCGTAGATTACTAAATGCAACAAAGTTTGATTCTTTTTGGACAAAACTTGAATCTTGTAATCATCCATGTTAACTTATTGACTTGGTAAACAACCTTAAACAAACCAAACAGACAGAGAACACATCTGTGAACATGGGAAAGATTCAAACCATAACCATACACATTTTGAGTTAACTGCGAGAACCAGTATATGCATATCAATGCATATATATATATATGAAATTTTCTGCTAGTGAACATTATGAATCTTGAATCGGATAATATATGTTCGATGATTACCCTTTTGAGGTAACGGGCTCGAATCCATTGAGGAGAAACATGAAGTGGAGTGTGTTTCTCTTCGACTGGCCTCGACATCAAATGGTTAGATGGCAACGATGAAATGATTCTAACATCATCTGCTAGAGCTTCCTTGAAGTGATCCACATCAAATATATCAGAAAACTCACTGCAGAAACAAATCAAAGATTAAAAAAGATTCTCAAATGGCTACATTTCGGCAGAAATCGATCAATCGATATAAGAACACAATTCGGGAACTGGGTTCCTAAACACAAGAATCTTGAAAAACCTATAAGATCAACAACAAGGTGTTTCAAGATTATAAGAGAAATCAAACCATATGGAAGACCAATCTTGTGATTAACTCAAAAGGGTGTTTCAAAAGGCAAACGTTGGTGCACCAGGGCTCATATTTTGCAGAGTTTTTATCAGAACTGGAAGTTGAAAAGGAATACAGTTACTAAAGATGAAATCACAAACCCATGCCCCCGGTATACAGTAAGTTCGAATGCTAGGCTCAGATGTGGTTCTAGGGGCGGGTTCAATGTGGGACCCGTCGTTGGTAATCAGCTAAAATAACAAAACCAATGAGGGAGCAATCTTGTCATTAAGATATCTCAAAAGGGCTTAACAAGATTGGAATTTTAAGAGGATTTGTGTGATTTTTTTGCAAAAAAAAACTGTTTTGTTTACATCAAATAAGAGGTGTTCATAAAACAAGCAAGTAAAAGCTGAATGAATACCTTTCATCTCCCCAAATAACATTAACTTGTAAGATTGGTACAACAAGAGCAGCACCAAGGATTCTAGCAATCACAACAGCATCAACAATCTGGTTTCTCTGTTGATTTATGCCACCAGAAACCACCACCACCAAATACTTTGTTCTGTCTTTTAAAATCTCAACACTTGATTTCATATACTCTCGACTGAAATCCAAACAAGGCCTATACCCAAACCCATCAGGCTGCTTCCAAAACCCATTGATTTCTTCATCTCTTTCTTCAGTTTTTAGCTGAGAATTAGAAACCCCATTTGAGATTAAGCTTGAAGTGTCCTTTTGGGGGATAATCCCACACGGGTTTGGTGAAAAAGGGTCAAAATTATACCACATCTTCAACATAAGCAAGAACCCACACAAGAAAAGGAACAAAAACCATGTCGTAGGGTTCTTGATCAGGACCTTTGACCTTGCAAAGGCACCAGTCTTTGAAGCAGCTGCTGCTTTCTTGGGTGAAAGAAGGAGAGATTGAAGTGAGTTAGATGAGAGAGAGTTTATGATCTCAGAAGGCACCGATATGTAACATTGATGATGGTGTTTCTTGTGGTTGACACTCTTTGAAATCGCCATTGAAAGATAGGAAGAGAGAGCAAAACAACCCTAAATGAGAGATCAAAAACAGGCTTTTTGTTGGTTTTGTGTACGGATTCTGTTCTTGTTTCTTTGGGTCATGATGTTTTACAGAGAAAGAGGAAGGAGAGGTATGGAGACCTTAAGAATCTCCATTTGGAAATGAAGAAATGAGTGAGAAATGTGTGAAGTTTATAAATTTGTGTCAGAGATTTATATATGGATGGGTCTGAAGTTGGAGAGGGGTTGGGGGCGGGAGGGTGGGGTTGGGGGGATGGTGTTATTTTAGTGTAGGCAGTTTGAATCTTTTGTGGAGACTTATTTTATGCCTTCAATCCGTTGGGTGGTTTTTGAATCATGAAATAATTTACCTTTTGGTTTTCTCGTAAAAAGAAAGAATCCCTTCGTGCTAACAAAAATAACACATGGTATAAGTTATCAATATATATTATTCTTTTTTTTTATGTTTCTAATATATTTTTGACATCTTTCATTCATGCTTTCATTTTCTTATACTTCTATGTCTTTTTTCCATCCCCCAATATGAGATTCAAAATTAAATTCACCATGAGTTATTAAAAGTTTTCTCATTCAATTGCTCTAGAACTTTCAGTCTCGCTCTTGATCTTTTGATTCCTTCTTCTTGGTGTAAATCGAACACATTTGTGGAGTCGTTTAAATATGTTGGATTTTAAACTGTCATACAATTTTTTTCATTGATAGACTGTAACTGGAATCATAACTCTTATTTATTCAAATTATATTAATATATAAAGACCAAGTGTAACTTATATTATCGTTAAATCTTCTCTAATAAAACAAATGGAACTTCAAAATCGTTAAAATTCACGGCTCCCGTCGCATTGCGCGGGTACACAACTAGTTGTTTTATAATTAGAATTATACTCGTGTAATACGATGCAATATCTTTATTTCAAAGCTGAGAATCCAAAAAAAAAAAAAAACACTAAATCGTGATTTATGTTTTGTTTCTGGTTTATATAATGGTTTTTGTGTGATTCTTGAAATATCGAGGTATCAATTTAGTTTTCGGTTGATTATCAATTCGATGACGTATTTGTTGTATTAACATGGCTCGATACTTATCCAGTATCTAAACTTTATTATCAGTTAGTTTTATTGAATTAAAAAATATAATAATAAGTTGTAAATATTATATAATATAATAAAAATAATAAAATGAACATATTCACGTTTAAAAATATACCTATTGTCAAAAAATTTGAAAACCAAGTGAAAATTTATGACTTCTCATGAATATGCTACTACATGCATACACGAGTTGTAGTTAAAAGAATTTGATGTTTGTTCGATAAATCAGTAAATTTTGTCAACCTGTAGATCTTGAAAAGGTAATAAATTAAAAGATACACATTGATCTGAGCGAGTTAAAAGTTGTGATCTTATATAAATGTTACTGAATGCACATACAAGTATTCACACGACAAACAAAAGTTAATGGCTCTGACAAAACGCCATATTTGTAATAAAATTGAAATCATAACTGATATGCAAGAAACGAATATAGATGTTATCCAATAATCTATACTATTACAAAGCGTCGGTAAAAGCTATTAAAATAACTTAGAGTAAATTACACTTTTGGTCCTTATAATTGTCATCTATTATCAGCCATCGTTCATCTTTTAAACTAATTATAATTTTAATCACCGTGATTATCATTTTGTTTCACTTTTGATCTCTCAAACTAACTCCTGCTAAAAAGGTCCTTCAGTTTAGGGACATTTCGGTCCTTTTATAATTTTCAATTAAAAAATTAAATAAATATTTATACTATATTATAAAATATTTGACAAAAACTCTTAAAAATCATTTTTTATGCACAAAGTACTGTTTATTAATGCATAGTACTTAAAATTCAAGATTACAAGTAAATTGTGCATAAATACAACTTATTAAAATACTATGTTTTAATTCGTGTAACTAATACAAATAAACATAATATAATATTAGATAACCATCTCATTTTAAATATAAAATATCTAAAATAAAATTAGAATAAATATTGAGTTCTAACAAAATACATAATTATTATCTTTATAAAAAAATTATATTATTAAACCTAAATTAAATTATAATAAAAAAATTAAATTACAAAAAAGATAGAAATTTTAAATAGTTAGTTTGGTACTAATATCAATATTTTTTTTTTCAAATTCTTATGATATCTTCATATTTATATCTTATGCAAAAATAAAAATATTATCATTTTCTTAAAACCACGTAAAACTATATTATAACATCGAAGAAAAAAACGAAACATTAAAATCGAGATATATCTTACTGCATTATGCAAATTCCCTTATGGTAATACTGATATACACACACAAACCCATCTAGATTGTCTTCTTCGACAAGAATAATCACCTGTTAATGGCATCCAAACCCGATGTCCAACACTTATTCCGAAATATTTTATCCGGTGTACCTAGATCTCAGATTTCAAAGCAACCACATTCACAATCAAAACCCTAATAGAAACCCTAACTCAAAAATCGGCTATTAAGCTAAGCTCTTTCCCACCACAACGATAATGACAACCATGAGACTGTCATCGCCGACGATTCAATTTACATCTAAGACAATCATCGATTCAAAGGAGAGTAATAGTCTGTGTTCGTAGGTGGTGTAAAGAACGAAGAAAATGGTCGATCTGCTAGGGATTCGATGATCTGTGACGAGTATGGAGAGTGGTCCCTGATTTTTGGTCCTCTATTGTCGATCTACTGCCATTGTCGTTCTTCCTCTTCTCACCAACCCTCCTTCCTTTTCTCCATGCCAGGATTCACCATCATCTCTTCCCTCTTTCTCTCTTCATCATCACACCACAATACCCACTTCATAGGAAACACCCTCCCACCCTAGAGAACCAACGATTCGAATATGGGTTCTATTTTGGTCACTGGTTCGAATGTGATTTTGCCAAATATGAGATTACTAGGTTTGATTTTGGCCAAATTTGGGATGCTCTCTGCTCGATCCATTCTTCCCGGTGAAGTTGGCCGGGAGAAGACGATGGAGAAAAGTTGGTGGTGGTCCCGCTCGGTTGTGTGTATAATATAATAATATTTGTTTAATTTTTAACTGAAAATCAAAGAAATGATAAAAAGACCTAGATGCCCTTTAGGACAGGACCGGACGGTATGAGACGGAACATGATTAATTGTCTGTCTTATGTATGGTACGACTAGGATAAGACATGACAAAACTATTAAAATGATCATATTACCCCTAAATATTGTTTAATGTTATTTTATATCATATAATGATCGTAAAATGACAACAAATCAACCAAAATATTGTCATTTTAATTTTAGTCTCATATTAATCCACCTTTTTGGTAGAACAAGAAATATCAAGATTTGTTCCATTAAAATTAAAAATAGTCCCATGGGACTATTTTTTTTGTCTCGTCATTTCCTATGTAGTCTGCATACCAAACACACCCTTAAGTTAATGGCCTTTTTTAATAGAAGTTAGTTAGAAGTATCAAAAGCGAAACAAAATGACAACTACATTGACCAAAAGCGAAACAAAATGACAACCACACTGACCAAAATCGTAATTAATTCAAAAGAACAACAAAAGTTGATATTGGATGGTAACAATAGGGACCAAAAGTGTAATTTACTCAAGAACTTTATCAATCGTTAGTACTTGCTCAATTCTTTTTCAAAATTCAAGTTTACAACTTACCGGTGAATGTACACAACTTTTTAAACTTCCACGTTTGAAATTTGGAACTACATAAAATAAACTGATAAACGTTTTTAAATACATTATAAACGTTGAGCCCTGCTAATACAGTTGAATACTTTATAAAATTTTCAGATATTCTATTATAAAACTTGTTTTACTTTTTAAAGCTAAAAAAGCAGTTATGAACATTCGCTTACAAGATGATGCAAATACGAGGAGAGGATGCCATGGTAAGCTATAACTTGCGTTCGAGAAACGGTAGCAACAATTGCAACAACTCAATAGAAAGAAGACAACACCTAATTCGAAACTATTATGCAGCTTTGTTTGTACCTCTTGCAATCAAAACCGTCTTATACCGTCCAATTTGTTGAGAGGGAAGTAAGCATTGTCGCTCACGCCTTTGCAAGAAAAATCATTATTCTATGCATCACCAAACTATCAGGAAGTAACAACTTGGACTGTGGTGTATTGGTTAAGGCCCACGAGGATGTCGTGAAAATCTGATATTCCACGAGTTCGAATCTAAGTGCTGTCATAACCTTAGTGCACATGGAGATTCAGTTGCGACGACTCCAGAACATTTGTGGTCTCCCAAGGATTAATGGGTATATATAAGCTGACCTGAATACCTATATGTACAAGTCAACTTTAATCAATTACCATCAAAGTCAACTTTAAATTAAATTCCTTTCTAGTTTGAATATATACATACACACACAAAAATTGCAAGTTGAAGTCTTTTAAATAGGAATATTGAACAGATTGTTGTGAGAGATGTAATTCATTTTTTTTTTTATCAATCTGGATATCCAACCTGCTATGCGAGCCGACTAATCCTAGGACGACCACCTACTTTGCAGATATCCCATAGTCACCGCATTTGAACCTCCGTAGCCACAAGAGGATTTTTATTCCCCCTTGGATTATGAACCTGAAACCTCCTGATACTTTTGACCTTTAGAGCCAAACTCAAACCAATCAGACACCACCCTCGTGGTTTTCAATTTATTTTTTCCAACTTTTGAAATATAAAAATGAATAAATCTTCTGACATAAAGTTTTATTATTAATAAAATTTATTTAAATTAAAAGACTCGTGGTTTAAAGAACATTTTACATTTAATTATCCGATCTATTGTTTATAGAATCTGTTATATGATGTGTACATATTTTATTTTGCTCACTTGACATCAAGATATATTTTTTACTCCTTGATCATTTATCTTCTGTCATCATGACAGAAACAAAAAACGATTTACCTTTTTAGATCATGAGGACCACGTAACATTTAAAAATAATATACTAAGGGGCCATTTACCTAAATGCTTACCGAGAAAGCAATTACCA